TGGAATTCATCTACCTGGCCTCGCTGTACGCGAACCGGGAACGCCCACGGAACCCCGTTCAATATTTCCTAAACTGCAGTGGGTGTGAGTCGATTCACCACCAGGTCTTATTCTTCTCATCCTGCCCACTTTATTTTGGTCTCAGTTTTCTGTACGACTACAGTAAATAAAATGGCCGCCACTTTGCAAAGGATACAGAGGACTGAACTCAACCACGACTCGGCATAATTTCTCGTTGCAGCCGTCTCAATGAGCTTTTTTCATGTTCCATAATTATGTTCTTTGCAGTGGTTGCCAAGAGGGAGGGAAAAAAGGTTGAATTAATATGCATGACCTCGCCTAGATTCGAACCGGGAGTGGCAATATCCGACATGTGCAGCTGAACCGAAGTTGCCGCCACCAGGTCTTGATAAGTGATTGCTCTCATCCTATCGCCCTCCCTCAACCTTTTTTTCATTGGAAACCAAAGCAGTTGGATTTACCACACAGTTCGGAAACGACACTCCAATTGCTTACTGCAGTCCTGATGATCAAGTGCGTGATGAGACCGTCGCGTGTGCAATGTACGAGTCTAGAAAACAACCGCGACCACAAAAACAATAGACGACCCGAATTAAAATAGAGTATGTATCTAAATTGTCGTTCCCAGTGAATTATCATCCAACATACAGTGCAATGCAGTCCAACGAATCGCCGCTCCCTTGTAATCGACTGTTTTGGCGATCATTCCACCTCTTCGTTCGATTTTTTGCGTTCATCAACGACATTGAGCAGCGCTTCTCGGCTCTCCCGGATCTTGTTCAACTTCTCCCTCTGCTTGGCGACCGACACGTATGTGCCGACCGGTGCGAAAAGCTCGCGCGGCTCGTCGGGGTCGTCGTTCTTGTTCTGAAGTCTTCGTGGGTTCGAATCAAGCAGTTTCTTCAGGACCTCGATGTTTCGCCCTGCCGCCGCCCGGGTGCGCTCCAAAGCAGTAGCGGTATCGGGGATGGGGTGCTGCTGATGGTTCCGGACCATGCGGCCTTCGTTGAATTGTTTCAACAACGATCCACAAAGTTCAAGTTCTTCTTTGGTAAGAATTCCGAGGGCGAGATTCCGAGCGGTTGCGACGTCAGAGGGAAGAATTCTTTTCTTTTCCGGAAGAAATGACATGTCCAATAGCCGGGTGACTATTGTGGTGTGAGCTCAGATCGAAAAATTAAAGAGAGGTAACGTACTGTATGTGAGACCATAGTTTTTCAATTTCTCTTTAGCAGTATCGCCCATCACTCGGCGATTACCTTCCGTCCGGGGAGGCCGCTTGGTATCGAAAATAATATCATTGAACGCTGTTCCCGCATGAGCCAAATAACGAGGGAGGGGGCAGGCGATCACAGCAACGTACATCTCAAACACCGATCCGTCGACTCGTGCTTCTCATTAATGTCAGCAACTGCTATCGCAAGCTCCATGTCCGAGAGGCGGGTGGTTTGTATCTCGATTGTGGATTGGAGAAGGAGGTTGTTTGATAGTTTCAGGCCGTCGATTTCAATTTGAAGATTTTGGACCAAAGAAATTAGAGTCCCGTTGTCGTCTTGCAGGCGGGCCAGCCTAGACGACGAATTCAAGCCATGTCATCGAACACAGAGAATCTCACATACCGCTTCTTCCGTTCGTATGGTCTGAGGTCGGCATTTGGACGAGCCGCAACGATATCGGATCCTTCTTCCCTCAGGTCCGTGACATCCCAAGAATCGTCCCCGAGAAACGTCTTCGCAGCTTGGCGGATGGTGGCGCTGCCCACGGGAGGACGGACTTGTACGCTGCGACGGCCGCTGGTGGGCGATTCGAGAGTTACTGTAACGGTGCTCATAGCAAGATTATTGGTAGGCGAGGACTCCAGGAGGCGGGGGCTTTTGCGGCGAGAAGGCGGGCACGAGCGAGACGAATGAGACGACGGGCGAGCGAGGAGGGCGGCGCGGTTAGGTTACGCGAGGATGTGGTGGTTCGAGTCGAAGAGCGATACTCAGGGGTTTGATCTGTATGGGGCCATTTAAGGCTCCAGCGGCCCGATCATCCGCTTCCGAAACACTCCGAGCAAGCCTCTGGGCAGCCCTCCAGCCCAGAGAAAGCTCGACGACACCAGCGTAAGTTGCAAAAGGCAAACCTTGCCTGCGTGGCTAGGTGGACTTGCATTGTACAATATTCGTCGTTTTGTGATGTGCATGGCGGATGTAGGTATGTACGTAGGATGTGAATTATTATAAGTGAATTAGCAAAGAAAGAAGCAGAGCAGGCGCAGAAATATTGCAGGGGAATGGAGGGGAGCGATGAGTGAGTATGAGTGAAACTGTCGGTGTGTGCATACTATCTAGGTAGAGCGTTCCGCTCTCTAGCAGTCCATCCACCCTTTTCTCTACGCACCTTGCTCCCTTCTCAAGTAGCGTCTCTATCGCTTTCTTGATATCGGTGCGAGACGACCTCCTGGATGAGTGCCTGGTTCTTCATCGTCTTGCGCTATGTCGCCTGGATCACGTACTTGCTGTCCTCGTCCACCACCTTGAGCACGTCGCTCGGCCTTGATCGGCAGATTCAGGTTCACGCGGATCTTCTTCACCTTGAAGCCTACGCGCAAAATCCATTAATTAGCTTTCTTTCACCCAACACAAACGGAGCCGGTGGGAAAACGCACCAGGATTCAAATCATACTGATCCTTCTCCTCATTCACCAGCACCTTCGCCTTCACCAGCAGCGCCAACACCTGCGTCAGAATCTCCGTCGAGATCTTCGTCGCCTCCTGCAGCTCCGGCAGCGACAGCGTATCGTTGCGGTTGTACTGCAGCAGCATCGCCGCCTAGTACGCCGACGCCATCAGGATGTACTTCTGGTTCGTGTAGTTTGTGCGCAGCTCGTTCTTCGAGTAGTTGTGCAGCCATGTCGGCTTACGGCCTAGTGATGTTAAAGGCCCGGCTTGGCCTGAAAGCCCGGGCTTGGGCCCGGCTTCGGCGGGCTCGGGCTTGGGAATTCTCAGGCCCAAGCCCAAGCCCTCCAACAGGGCTTGGCCGGGCCTGGCTTGGGCCTGAGCCAGGGCCTGAGGTGAGCAACCAATGTCAGAGTCAAGTCCGAGTTGAAAATCTTATAATGAGTTTACCAAGTGCAAGAAATGGTACTTGGTCCAATGACTTCGCAATTGTTGCAAAATTCTGCATCTGGACAGTGATTGGTGAAGTATGATTTGTCTCGGACAATGAAATAATATTCCCAGAACCTCGAAAAAGCGTGAAATATACCGCACGGGAAGTTGGTTCATTTTCAAAGATTCCAGGGAAGTTCAGATAAATTTCGTTGTTTTTTTGACCTGCCGTTTGCTGTGGTCTCATGCGCAGGTATGCAGGCCCAGGCTTGAGGGCCGGGCCTGGCCTGAAATTTTTGAAGCCCAAGCCCTAAGCCTGCTGAGGCCCGATGCTGGGCCTGGCTTGGCTTGGCCTCAACGGGCCGGGCTTGGTGGGCTTGAGGGCTTCAGGCCAGGCCCCCAACATCACTATTACGGCCGGAATGCTGTAAGGGAGTTAGTCGACGTTTGGGTGGTGTGCGTATGAGAGGGAGAGGGAGGGAAGGGGAAAGGGAGGACGAGGGGAGGAGGGAGCGAGGAAAGACGAGAGAGGAAAAGGGGAGCAGGAGTGGGAAGCGCACCTTCGTCTGGTAATACCGCGTGAAGCGCTCAAACGTGGGCAGCAGCTCCGGCGGCAGGAGGAAATCGTGCGTCGGCCGCGCCAACGGCCAGAAGTTCGTCCCGAGCATCATAAGGCTAAACGCAATATCTATATCGTCGTGGTTCGTCCGTGAGGTCCTTTGATAAGGACATGTCTATTCGTGTGCCGTCAGCACTGTGAAGGGAGGAGGAAAAGAGAAAGGACCCACCGGTAAACATCCGCTGCAGCTTATTCGTATACTCGAATCCACACGCCTCTTTAAGCTTGCTGATCATGCTCGCCTCCGCCTCGTCGCGCTGGCGCCGTGGATCAGCCGCCTCGACAGCTTCGTCATGTGGAACGTCTGGAATATGTTTTTGTCCTCGAGGTACTTGAAGAGAACCATCTGTGTGCGACGCCCATGACCATCATCGAAAATGAAATGAATGAGAGAAGACATACCACCTGATTCAGCGCGCCCTCAAGGTCGACGTCACCGGCCACCTTGTTGCTCTTCCTTAGCAGCATATCCGCATGCTTCGCCAGCAGCTCTGGCGACCGCGCAGCGTTCGAGCCTACAAACCCACGCATCAGCTCGTGGATAGTACACTTCCAAAAAGGAAGCAAAAGAAAAATGCACCCGTCGCTGCATTCCGATCAACAAACTCCTTGCACGCCTTATCCAGCGCCACCGCAAAGCCCACCTCGGCCTTGAAGCTCTTCGCGACAGTCGCCGCGTTTTTCTCGTGTACCGCCAACAGCCGCCAACAGCGCGTCGACGTACGCCTTCAGGTCGAGCTCGCCGCTCTTCGCATCAGCGTCGGCTGCTGCGCCCGCAGTGCCCTGAGCGCCAACGAGTGCGCCTCGAATTTCTTGCGCAGCGGCTCGAGCCCTTCAGGGATGCGCGCGAGGAGCGCGTACATGCGCTGCAGGTCCTCGTCGGCATCGAAGTCGAGCAGGGCATGGGGTAGTGTGAATACGAGGATAACAGGGAATAAGAGGCGGGCTGACCTGGAACGCATCCCACATCCTCGGCGCATGTCTAGAATTATGGCAAGCCGAGGAACTTCGGTAACCAGGGCTCGCAGACAAAACTGGATCCAAAAACCGTGTAAACTCACTGCACAAGGGGTTTGAAATGGTCTGCAAAGTAATCCGTGGCGTCTCGAGCTGGGTCATAATATTGTCGACGCCGCCAGTGAGGAAGGCCCATGGCTCGTCGAGATCCGCCGTCTTGGGCGGCATTTGGGTGAACGGCGCCGCGCTGGAGGACGCCATGGTGGTAAGTGTCAAAAAGTGAAAGCGAGGCCAGATGCTCTTAGGATTCATGACCTGGCCTGGATTTGAACCAGGAACGCCCGCATCACTTGGCGGAACAGTGCAATTTGAAGCAGGTGTGATAATACGATTCACCACCAGGTCTTATTGCCCACAACTTGCATCAATATTTTATTCGCTGCATGTAGTAGTTGCTGCAGAGCATAGGTACCAACTATGCCTCAAACCGAATCAAAACATCTCATAATTATAAATGTACATATCCGGAGCTCTTTTCATTATGCCCTCTGCGTTGGAACCCCTGCGCGAGATGCACAACTTGAACGCAAAAGAGCGGGAAAAAAAGACAGCTCAAAATCATAACCCTGCCCGGATTCGAACCGGGACAATAGGTTTTTGCGATACCTTTCACAACCAGGCCATTAGACTTAGACTCCTCAATCCATCGAACTCATCTTGTGTCCAATTTTTGAATTTGCAGTTGATGACAAAAGGAAGCAGATGAACACCAACTTTGTCAACGAAAATGAAACCAAAAATCAAAAGACTCTGACACAAATGTAACCGCAGCTCAGAGTCCTTTCACCCTATACCTTCTGCGTTTTCGTGCTTCTTGACCGAAAAAAAGAGGGACATGGACGACTTCCGACGACAACCCGACCCGGAATCGAACCAGGGACACCGCATTCAATCTTGCGACGTTTCCAGGAAGTAGGTGTACTACCATCAGCACCAGGTCTTATTTTTCTCATCGTACTACCTCGCTTTACCCTCAGCCTTCTGGATACAACTGGAGCACTGTATGGAAATCACTTCTGGTTGCAGTTGCATTTATGAGCGGGGTTCGACAATCTACGCCAGCCAGACAGTTATATGTATGAAGTATATGTTCCGTCGTTGGACCCTCAACTTCGGGAAGGCAGAGCCATTGACAAGAAAAAAAGCCCTTGTTTCCGGAGACAAGACTTGAGCCGGAGACAAGTTGTCTCGGAATCAAACCGAGAACTCCATAATTGCGCACAAATCCTGCTTGTTCAACTGTAGCAGACGTGATCCCTTTCACCAGCAGGCCGTTGTTCTTTGTGACCCATTTGATCCTCAGCTCTTTTGGACTTGAGCACCACCGAGTTGCAAAGCCAATGGAGGGTTGAACCGCGGTGAAAATCTAACCGAAATGAAGTCAAATATAACAAGCTGCAACACCTCTGTTTTTGGAGCCCTTCCGCGAGGTTAACAAAAGATTTTCCCGAATGACTATGAACTTGGAATGCCCGCGTGTGGGCTGAACCCTTCAAGCAGATGTTGGCTTCGCTTTTTTGCCATTTGGGTAAGGATGAACGCGACGCGTTTGATATCCCCATCGGCGTCATGCAACGGATCAAAGATATCGAGCCCAACTTGGCAGTAATGCCGTGTTTTATTAACGAGACGAGAAAAGAATGGAGGGTTGAACGATGTGTCTTACTGATCAGGCGTCCGGTTGTGCCCCAGGACAAACAACCACTCTTGAAAATGCCAAAACCGGAACTCTGAAATATCCTCGAGTACTTACATCTATCATGCGTATTGAGCGATGGTGCCTGCCTATGTAGTCTGCTTTTTCATCAAAAAAAAAGCAGATGCGGGCCTGAATTTCACATAGCGAGGTACGATCTGTCGAAGAGAAGGGCGGCCCATGTGCATTACATCACACCTTTATTACCCTCTTCTGTCCGTCCGAAGCATTTTTATACTCCGTTACCAGCACCTCAGCACCATCTGGCCCTTAGAACCGGTTCAAGAGCTCACAAGTCGACCTCAATCGAAGTGGGGGCCAAGCGGCCTATCACGCTTTTGTTAATTATTTTGGACTCTACTATCACTGCCTTGGTACTACCCGTTTTTTGGCGCTCATTTAAGCGCTCACGAGTCCACCCTCTTTGTAACTATTCAATATCTATGAGCCATATGAGACATTGAAACATGGCCGTTGACCGCGAGATTTTCTTGAATGCCTACTACGGGATCATCACACTATTCGAAGTGGATGTGCCAAGGAAACTTGGACCTGCCAACTACAAGGAGTTGACAGATGGATGGTGCCTCGAATAAACGAGGCTTCTTTCGAAACTGTTGGTGGGGTGTGTTGAACCCTGAATAAATTCAACAAAGAAATGGACGAGGTTAAACTCATTGAACAGTGGCCAGATGGACCTTGAAACTACTCCGACCTCATTGTTGCAGCCGTTCTACAAAGGATTTGGAATTCACTATGTCCAGGTTTTAAGATCAGCGGACGATTCTCAGTGTGCAAAATAAACGTTGGATGAGATCAACCGTGTGCAACGGATCAAACATAAGCCCGGTAGCAATTTTCAAGTTGGAAATAATAAAGATGCAGAAAAACTCGACCGTTTGACGAGCCGCACGCAGGCTCATAATCCATATTTACGGATGGTTCTTTTGTCGGAGTCAGGGCAGATGTTGGGGCCTGGCCTTGGCATGGCGAGGTACGGTCTGTCTACGAGAAACGGGGCCCGTTTCAATGAGGAACCCAAGAAGGTGCTAGACAGACAGATGAACTTCGAAACTACAGCTGACCCAAGTGCTTGATTCATTCCGTATACTGAAACCGGAGGTCTGCTTGTGAGCTCATACAAGGACAGTGACTCAAGTGCGAAGTCAACCTCCGCAATGAACGTTGGTCGTGTATTTACAATTCTATTGTGTACTTCTCGATTAAGTTATCCATTTAAACACCATTGAGGCACTTAGAATGGAAGACCTTTTAATTGGTTTTCATTTGACATATCAGAAGAAGCTTCTCAGATAGGGCAAGTTCTATGTGGTTCCAAGTCCGTTTGGTTGTCCAAAGGCTCACACTTATTGGATAACCTGACATCGGCGGAATCATTGACTCCAGTCCTGGATTTGTTCTATCACGATCGCGAGATGGAAGAACTTGGTGATTGACGAACCCGCAATCTGTTCTCACCACCATCGGATTGGCATAAAAGGCGTCCAAAGCCAGGTCCTCTCCTTCAGAAAAACATTATCATGTTCTTCACAACTAGTCTCAAAGCGCTAGCAATTGTATTCTGCACTACCTTGAAGATGGTCAATGCGGCAACCTGGACGGTACGTTTGCAAGGGGGTGGCGCTGTCAATCCAACAGTTTAATTGCATTGCAGCCACTCAAATCGTCGGCTGTTCGAATCCCAAACTCCGGAGCTCGGTTCTACATGAATATCGGAGGCAATATTCAGGAACTGACTACCAACGCGGGCAATTCGACAAACCCTCCGTCATTCGACAGCTGGCGCAATGCTACCCTCGATTTCACACCTTTCGGAGTATCCAACGTCGCACCGTCGTCCACCGTCGCCTCCGTTGCTTACATATTCGAGGGATCCACCAGAACCAAAGTCTTTTACCAAACCACGGACGGGAGCATCCGTGGGGTGATGTGCTGTCAAAACCCCGAGTGGGTGGTTGATCCCACAATCATTGCAACTGCACCACTCGGGTGGACATTCAGGCCTTCCAGGCATCAGATACGACTGGAACTGTGAGTCTCCTGCCGCCTGTGATTCAATTGACTCAGCTAACTATGTGACATTAGGCAATCGTCTTCGTCAGCTGGCAGAATGCTTTGGGACAGTTGACGGAGCGCTGGACTGCGGATGTCATTGATGTGGCGCCGTCGTGGAGTGCGCCGGTCATTATCTCCACCTAAGTAAGCGGTGTGCACCTTGGTTTATGTCGGATGTCTTCAAACGCGGGTCTGGTCGTGACGTGTCTGTACTATGTTCTGATTGTCTTGAAATTGTTAGCCTTGAAATATTGATTTAGTTGGATATGCACCCGCACCCTGCACGGGGATTTTTTTTTTTTTTGGTACGGACGCATTGGCTCAAGTGACAGTTCTTTTTATACAGAGGTTCGAGCAGTCTGACGTGGAATGAATGCACAGGTAGAAACGGGATGGATGTTTGCCGTTCCAGCCTCTGCCTCTCCCTGACCTAATGATTCATGAAGCATCAACAACGATTCAACGTGCCGTTTACTACGTAATTCCGCTGCTACCTGCTTGCAATCATTCAACCGTGGGAATATGATGCCCTTTCTTCATTCTTGGTTGAGCTTGACAAGTCGCACGCGCTGAATGCGCTCGATACTGTTCCAGGGTCATTGCCAAAAAAAATTTAGGATTTCTAAATCACATCTTCCAGAGCCGTTCGCGAGACCTTTCGAAATAAAAACAAACCATCTGATCTGAGGCCAAATTCACGTCTATGGTGGCTCGCCACGTACGCCTACAGCGCCGCGGCGTACGGGCGTGAAAAACCTGACACTTTCGACTGAACGCAGACCACACTGCTCGCAAATGATATCATCTCCGACTTACGCCACTAGCAGTGGGGTGGGCGTTTCAGGGCGTTTCGCGCTTGCTATCTCACCAACAGCGTTTATCAGGGTGGGGTTATGAAACATTTTGACCTTGGACCGACCTTTCCACATTAGCAAAGATGCTCGTTTTCTTTAGACAATGTTGGTTTTTGCCGAGTGGTAGCGTCGACGTTTCACAATTCGACACAAAATGCCTGCCCAACTCCGATCGCCTTCTTGATTGGATCCGATTGCACAATCTTATCGAAACTTTCCAGACTTCCACATTGGACAACGCCATCTCGTACGCAGCTGGTGCGCACTTGGGATCCGGGTAATGGATCTCGCAGATACACAGATATCTTCCAGAAATTTCCGAGCAGACAAGAGGACGAATTGATGTGATAGTGATAGTGATAGTGATAATTTATACACGACATGGTCCAAACACTGAACGCCGTGTTCCCAAGATTATCCCGGCATGCGCAAGCTTCTTATGCCTTCGCCTTGGACCCTCACCACCCGGCTTGACGAGCTATTCGCTATCAGAACGTCTATCTAAAGCCGTGAGAGAAAGGGCAGAAAAAAGAAACTAGTCGGGCTGCGGCGGTTGTATCAACCAGTGTACTGGCAGAGGCGGGATATGCATTGGAGTGGCATAGTAGATTTGAGTGACCTCATATGCGAATTTTGAGACCAGTGCAATAGTTTGCCTGTAGGATATCATCAGCTTTAAAAATTCCACCACGGGCATCGAGTTAAGCGCGGGGAGTTTT